CTTGACAGGCTGTCCGCAGTTGTTAGTGCTATTAACAGGGCACGCCAATTCACTATTTTTCCAGGGTGTGGTGTGAAAACGAAGCCAGATCTATATCACGATCTACTGCGTCACAAGACGAGATGAAGCCCGATGCTTCCGTGATTTTCGGTTTCGATGTAAATAGGACATCTTTTGGTGGATCAAGGCAATATCATATTGGAACTTACCCTCCGTTTGTTAATTTTCTGTCGTCACCTGTCTTGCTTGGTCAGTGTCTTGATAATGGCTTGATTATTAGAGTGTTAACATGTTAAACACGAACCGGTTTCTCTTATTGACACATTTTTCCATTTTTGGCCTGTTTCTTTAAATGGGAAGAGTCGTCACAAAACAAGCTGTATTCAGAGTTTAACGCTCAAAAGAAACTTCCCAAAACAGACAGCTGAGTGCGGGCAATTTCTAACTAACTTGTCGACCCCTTGTCACATCAAGATTTTCTACTGAGCAAACAAACTGTGGAACATGGCAGGTTCTGAAAACTAATATTTACTAGAAAAGTCATTCAATGGCATATTCAAATCGGACAGAAGTGAAGAATCGTTTTTAGGTGATTCTTTTCAGTGAAATACTCAGAGACTAGGATTTTCGGATTTTGATAATAACAACGCCTACCGCTTAAAAAAACGCAAGCTTTATCAACTTCACAATGATGTTTTTCAGTTCTCTAATTCTCTGCAATTCTCCTGCAATCAGAGTGAGCCAGAAAACCATAACATTTTGTCGCTGATGCTCTTTAACAAGCCCGCGAAATAAAAGATCGAAAAAAAAAAACTGTTAGGGTACAAATTTGCTGATAAACTGTCAGTCTAATAACAGTGCAATTAACTGATCATACTGCTCGCATACTTTCTAACGGTTCATTTAGGCAGCGTCTACACTACGCCGGAAAAATTTGAAAACACAGCTTTATTTCTACGGTTAGGCCTGCCGTCTACACTAAAAATCAGTCACGAAAACGGAGCCGGCTTAATTTTCGAAAACACTCTTCAAACCTGAGAAATTTGAAAACACCGGCTTTGCGTTTTCGTATGGACGAAAAACATGTTGAAAACGGAGCTTTACGAAAACGATGACGTCACGATAATCACGTGATTTCCCTGCCCGAGTTTTTCTCAAACACAAGTCCAAAATGACCGGTGACGTTGCGCTTTCAAATTTCTCCGGGGTAGTGTGGACGGAAAACATTTCATGTGTTTTCGGAGAGAAAAACCATGTTCAAATTTCTCCGGGGTACTTTGGACGGGGTCTATGATTCATTACCAACAAACATTTCCAGCAATATTTACGAAACAATTCGTTCCTCACACCGAGTATTCGTAGCATGATTTTTCATGATTTTTATTTTTTGTTTCCTTGGCGATATTTACCGGTCACGTCAGCCAAGACGCTCGCGATTCCATCTGCCAAACTGCATATTATGACTCACTGCATTGTCAGGTCTTTATTTAACTTTTGAATAATTTTGATGTGGCAGCCGCCGCTCGAACCTCTGAAAACTAATATATATTTTTTACGGGGCAACCAATCATTCGTCAACCTCTCGACATGAAATAATTTATGATTATAATTATACTGATCTAAAAGCCTAGATCGCATACAGAAAAATGAAAAGGAATCATTAACATGTGTCACAATATTTTCCTCCAGATCTTCCCAATCTATCAGTCATATTTGAAGTCTCATCTAGGTTTTCAGTGGTCATAAAAAATCAGGGGTTTTAACTTGTCTCCATGTAGCTTCCTGGAGACAAAGAGTGCGAAGCGCTAACAATATAACTCACAATATAATTATATATTTAAATATGCTCGTGTCATGGCTGAGAGACATTCAATTTATCTTCACCGCCTTTCACTACAACATCACAAACAAGTCCAACAGTTATTTTTAACTTTCGCACATGCAGATAGATATACCGTTCAGTTTATTTTTCCCAATTTTTTTTAATAATCATTGTTTAATCAATGCTGTCTGTAATATATGTTATTTGCTATCTGCGAATAAAATTTGTCATCTTTAATTCTCACTTTTCGAAGGGATCGCTAAAAGCTGTACGCAGTCTTAAATATCGAGCACTGAGAGGCGTAATATTGACAATGTTTCAAGCGCAGTACGTTGAAAACGATGTAAGGAACATTTAATTTAGTATTAAACTGAACTTAACCACGTGTTCAAATTTTTACTAAATTATAACATCACAAAAACAGAGATAAATGTAAACGAAAAACGACAATTGCGAATCTAACTGTAAGCGAATTGGTTTACAAACTCACAGCGTCAAATTGTCGCTTCCGTTAGCAAAAAATCAAACGGAATGCTTTATCTGGGGTGAGTCACTTGAGGGCTATCAAATTACTTGTTCTACAAAGTGCGGTGTAAATCCCCTTGATTTCAAATATTCATCAACGGTTGGCATTGTACGTGAGTTTGAACGGAGCGCTCGAGCGCTGTGTCCCATTCAATTGAATTTAACAGAAGTTATAAATATTCTCACCTGCTCCACGGTGAAGCAACGCCGTTTATTTTATGCGCTTCTGGAAGTTTCTTGTGTGCCAGTGTGTACTCTCAAGATACTCTATATTCGCGTCAAACAGACTGATCGAAGTTTGAGTAAGACGGGAATACGGGAACAACAATAACAAACGCTGTCCGCCTGGCCCGAAGAAGAATAAACATAGCAGAAATGGAGAGATCTGATTGGTTGACCCGCTAATTGCCTTCGCACCTGCTGAGGCCGAGAATGCATAATATATAAATAGTCCTGGAACCTAAAAAAGAAGACTGCACTAACTCCGGTCAGTTCGCTTTTTAATGTCTTTTGATTCGGTTCTTCAAAAACTGCAGCAAGTAACTGTTTATGTACATTAACAATACGAGTTTGTGTCGCTGATTCATGAATCTAATTTCGCAATTATTTTAACCACAAGCCTATTTTATTCTTTTTAATTAATAACTTGTAATCCTCGCTCAGTTTAAGAACTCTCACGTATTACTCTCTATGTATTAAAGTAATATTCTCTTCTGCTTCTGTTCTTGTCTGAGTGGTAGTCAACTTAAAATACTTATCTCGTGATCTGCAATAAAACTTACTTAATAATAATAAACAGCTCTCTGCCGGTTTTAAATTTCAAAAGAAACTCTGTGATGTATATGTATGAGTGTAACACAAACAGACGTACAATGTACGACCTACCTACAGTACAGTCTTTTCCTTCGTTCACGAAGACCTCTTACTAACCGAGTTCGAGGGCCGTACCGAGTGCAAGTTACGGATCGAGGTTTTTCCTCATCGATTTATGGCCCAACCGCGAAGCGCGCGGGCCATAAATTGAAGGGGAAAAACGAGGATCCGTAACTTACAGCACGGACCGAGAAAACGACGTTACTAAGGTAGTTATTATATCTCTGATGTGTACCTGATGGGTTCGGGAACGATTTCTATTCAACGAGGAACGGCTTCAAATTTCTGACGCGCCTGGAAAGCAAAACGAGTCAATTTGAAATCGTTAAAGTGACTCTTAAGTCGTAAGCAGGTTTTAATACACAATTTTAGAAGTAAAAGAAAGTTTTATACGTTTACTTGCGGTAAATCACGAAACATGTTAACAACAAAAACAACTTTAAATTTTAGCGGGCCGTTCAGTAGATTACGGCCCGCTAAATTGACCAATCACAGCGCCCGTACTAACTGAGAAAAATAATAAACCAAATCAAAGTCACGGCTAAATATATCAATGAACAGGCAGCTTTCTTTTCGTAATTAGAAAATTTGAAGAACACAAGAAAGAAGGTCGATGAAAATACTGCCTCATCTCTCAGTTTAGCCTGCGTTGCAGCCGGACGTGTCACAAAATCCCCGGTATAGGACTACGCCGGCGGGTTAGACTGTCTGCGACGCAGGCTACTCTTATTAGTATCTTGTCCATAAATTCAATGTTGCTTCTCTATTAATTTATTTATCTATTTATCTAATGGTTTATTTATTTATTTATTTATTTATTTATAGATATATCTATTTATTTGTTTATTTATGTAAAATTCGAGCTAAACGAATTATTTAATGTTATTTATTGTATATCTTGTTTGTGTAATTATTTATTTATGAAACTGATTCAGTTACCCTCAAAGCTCCAACGAGCATGCCTTTCATAGCTTTCGGGACAAAACCGATCATATGTCGGATCAAACCGGGCTTAAAAAATCTTGATATTCACCGCTTAAGAGATTAATTCTTCATGCCCTTGTTCAGTCCATGCTAAACTTCAGCCTCAGAAGCTTTTAAAAGTTATCATTTTATGTTTATTGTGACTGTTTCATTATCTAATTCGTTCGAGTAACACGACAATTAATAGCTGGACCAACGAACAGACGGTTGACTGGCTAGATAAGCAGATACAGTATCAACTGAGTGACTACATGACTGACTGACTGACTGACTGACTGACTGACTGACTGACAGATTGACGGATTTCTGGACTGACTGCATAACCGACTGACTGAATGACAGACAGACTGACAGACGAACAGATAGGTTGTTTTAGGCTGCCACCAAACCTCCCGTCCTACTCACCAAAATCTGTAAAAGCTTCCCTGCTTCAGTTCGACCAGCCTGGTTATCGGGAACACTTTGTGACAGAGTTTTCAATAATTACAAGGAATCGAAACATAAATAAGCATAGCAAATAAATGAACGGATCAAACGGAAGAGCTTGTTGAGACTCCGGATTTTTTAAAAGTATTCTGTAACGATTAGGAGCTGATCCTAAACCCGTACCTTTGAGACTTGCTAAAACGTTTCCTCGTTTTTCTTTTATATTGACCGAAATTTAGAATTACGTTTAACAAATTTATTTTTTAAAGAATACCCAGTCCATAAAATGTAGTTTTTGTCTGCTTGTCTAATTATTACAGCACAATGAGTTTCTGGTCTCTAAGAGCCAGTCTATACTTGAAAAGAATGCATGTACCTTATTTAAATATATTGATCACTTTAAGTCAACACACTAAGGAAAAACACTGAAAATTGTCTTAAAGTAAGTTGTTAAATCGTGTATCTACAATTTTAGTCTTCAGAGAAAAACAGAAGTTTAAACATGAAAATTGCTCGTTTATGTTACAATAATTTCAAAAGGAAGAAAGCTCAACTTCTGCTGGTGCTATTTTTTCTAATGGCGTTGACGGTTTGTTTTTACCTTACTATTCAAGAGCCAACAAAAACAGTCATTTACATGGACGATGTGAATAGTATTCTAAAAGGGTTATCAAAACCACTGTTCTTGAAACCAAGCAAAGCAGACGGTTTTAGCTTTGAGCAAAGCGGTCGCAAAATTACCGAGCACAAACTGGAAAACTTTCCTGACGACATCACTGAGAATCTCAGGGCTACTACGAAAGCGAGTGATGTGAAGCAGATTACATTGAATGAAAACAATACGTTGGGATACGTAAACAGCGAGTTTGGAAATAAACTTGGACTTCCTACAGAGGAAACGCCATTTGTTTCATCTCACGAGAAAAACCAGACAAGCCAACATGAAAATATTACATTTTCGTCACATGGAGTTTTAAACCTTCATGTATGGGAGAAAGTGTGTCATTTTCAAGTGGAAAGTTTACGTCAGTTTATCTTATTCCCTCAAGCTCCATCCAAACGAAGACTGTTAAATTCGTCCTCTTTATTCAGTGAAAAAGACAGTAACTTTGGAGAGCGAATGTTCGGATTCATTTCACCTTCTACAAGCGGACAATACCAGTTCGCTATTTCGTCGAGCGGAAACTCGGAGCTGTGGCTGAGTTCCGATGAGACATTGGCGAACCTTCGGAAAATTGCCTCCCTTGGTTCTCGGGATAACCCTGGTCGCGGTAAACCTAGAAATTACATGACAGCTTCGTCTCAAGTTTCTAAAACTTTTTCGTTAACGAAACACATAAAGTACTACATCGATGTGCTACACAAACACAAATCGGGCAAAGTCCATTTGGAGGTGGCTTGGCGATTTGCAGAGGAAGCCGAATTCAAAATCATAACAAGTGAATATCTGTGGGGTGCAATGAACGACAGCCATGTTCCTGATAATGCTGTTCAATTAGCTGATTACGATGAGCAGCCGCAACAGTCACGTGACTCAATCTGGCCGTATTTTAACCCCGAGGGGGCTAGAGAAATTTTGCCTGAATGCCCGTATGAACCGAGTTACCGGGTCAAACATAAGCTGATTCGATTCCAGGTGCGTCACGCGACACGTTATGATTAAAACCAATATCAGTCGTAAAAGGGGAGTTAAAAAATAACCAATTTAAAATGACAAATGATTCTTTAAGAAGAGAAAAGAGGAGGTCCGAAATCTCGTTCTCCTCTGTCGGACTTTCTGTACCCTTCCTTCTGAACTCCAGAGATTTCATTTAATAACTGATTAATAGTTAATTTAATTAACAAAACTTTTGCTTTGTTATTCTTCCGTTTCCCCGCCCGCTCGCATTTCTCTCAACTTAGCCGACTTAGGTGATGTTAAGGCTCAGCTTTACAGTCTCCTCATTCTAGAAAAGATTCTCAAGTGTGGTTCCTCAAAAACTGGGTTGCTATTGAAAATCGTTTTTTCCGGTACAGTGCTGTTCTGTCATTGTTTTCTTGCAGGGCGCTCGAAATAAAAGCAACACACATTTTGCTGCAGTGTATCCTCCAGACACCAGCAATAACTCTGTAGTACTAATGTACAATGAAGATATATGGTGGCAAGAAAACGCTGCCGGAAATGAGTTGACCAACCCAAATATGGCTAAAGGTGTTGCCCGTATGTTCATGGACGCTTTAGAAGCTAAATATCCTCAGTTAGTATTTTACCTTCTTGTTTTTGTTGCAAGTTTTCTTTGTGTTTACATTGCAAGTACTGCAATGTTGACCGCACCGATGTAAGGATCATGGTTAAAAAGCGTCAACAGCACGGTCATTTGACGTTTGTTTTACATGAGGTGGTATGGGAACCTCTGCTTTTGCTAGTTTTGCGTTGGCACAGAGTGCTTACAATTTGCGACAACCTTTCGCAATTGTCAAACCATGTTTTTAACAATAACTGTCTAATTTCTCGTGCGCTGATTGGCTCATTTTTATCATCGATAAGAGTACAGACGGATAAAATTTTAATTTATGCAAGCTTTCAAGTTCAACTTTCAGCTCTCAAGCTGTCAACTTGTTAACCAATGAGATTTTATGGACTTTTTTAGTAGCCAATCAAAAAGCGAGAAAAGCTATTGATAATGTTCGCGTCATTTTGAATAAAATTCACTTATCTTTGTTTATGGCAAGTCAACGGCGTCTTTTCCCCTCATTTTTTTCCAGCATTTGACCATTTTGGGGTCTTGTTATTGTAAAAATTAAATTGACGTCAGTTTTTTATGCGTCCGTCCTCTTATTGATGATAAATTGCGTCATAACATTGTCAAAGTGGCTGTGGAACCACGAGCCGCAGGTGAGTTGTTCCGCAGTAAACTTTGACAATGTTATGACCAAATTTATCATCAATCAGAGGACAGACGCATAAAAAACTGACGTCAATTTGTTTTAAAGTAGCAACGAGATAGTGCTAATACAAAACCATGAAATTATATATGCAAGCAACGATGAAAACTGAGAAATGCGCAGTTTGTCCTTTCGTCTCTCTCTGCTATGACTTCTCTGAGTGTAGAAAGCCCAGGACAAGAAACCTCAACATATGCGAATGCTTGTGTAGATAGCTATATTAAAGGCCAAGGATTCGAACGTCCTTCAGAAAATGTCCTATTTTAACGTAACATAGCGATGAGTCTATGATATAGGGTTTATTCAGATAGTTGGTTGTCCATTATCTTTTCTGATTCAGTTATTGTAAAACAGTTGTGTTTGCTTTTAGGCTGTACGCGCTTCAGGAGATCATTTCAGTGGAACATGTACCCGACCCACTAAAAGGCGATCGCTTTCTCCTGGAATTACGAATTAGTAATAAACAAACCGGCAGGAGCGTACTCTTGTCAGAACACGTCTACAGATCATTAGCGAAAAATATTAGTGAGTTGTGCTATCCAGAAGGATTTCAATGGAATAAAACTGCTACTGTCAATATCATCGTGCCTGTGAAAAACTCTGGTCGCTGGGCGCTCTACTTTATAAAGAATATTGCAGGTAATGTTTCAGCCACATCATATTTGCAATGATCTACTCAATTCACAGACGGTGTTTGATACCACATTTTCAGTCAGATATTTGTTATTGGCAATCCAGATCAATTTTCTCTCAACTTAACCATCCATACTTCTTATTTGTTTATTATGAGAGATTTGATGCTACCTAAGTCTAGAAGGCTTATTGTGAGGAGTTCCTTTGGTTTGAGTTTAACTTAAATTATGAAAAAAATGGTAAAATAAATTAAATAAGATTTTAAAAGTACATGTAACTCGCGTTTACGGAAAAGGTACGCTTCAGCTTGCTGTTCTTGGTAATTATATCGTCCAAGTCGTCCTTGGATAAGGTTCGCAGGTCTCGACTGGAGTGACGACATTGCGGCACTCAGCCGTGTGACACAGAACGAATAACTGAATATAACAGCCAGTCAGCGAGTAGTTAATATAACTCACACTTCTCATTTGCAGAGGTAATAAGTCAAACCCAGGACTTAAACGTGCACGTGATTATAGTTGACTACGAAAGCAAAGATATCGACATAGAAGCAGTGCTTCAAAGGAGCTCGATCAAGTGGTACTCGCTGGTGAGGATCCCTGAAGAGCAGGGTTTTCAGAGGGCACTAGCTCTTCAGCGTGGCGCTGCAGTGGTGACCGATCCTCACAGCATACTCTTCATGTGTGATCTTAATCTCAAGATTCCTTCCAATCTAATATCCACCATACGTAAGGTGAGCTCGTTTATTCTCTGTTTCTTACCCATCAAGAACAGTTTTTGTTTAATAAGCAGGTTGAAAATTCATCTTGTGAAAGCTGTTAAGCAGTGCTCATCATCGGGAAGTTTAGTTCTGTAATAACTGCAGTGCTTCCCAGATTGTCCGAGGTCGCTCTCGTACTAGTCCCTCCACTCGCGAACTCTCCTACTCTTGAGGAGTAACAGCTAGTAAAGCAACAACTTCTCACTACTGACATTGACATTTAGAGAAGGCTTTGGCTCTGGAATGGACAGAGTCTCCTCAATTCTGCAATGAAAGACGTTTCGTATGCTAGTCAACATACATATCTCTTTCTGGAAATAAAAGCAGGTTTGAGAATCAGTCTATAATGGATACTGTAGTATTTTACAGTGATATTAGGATGACTAATAAACTCAACTTTATTAGAAGGGGGTAATGTCTGGCCACTAAGTCGTTTTTCTTGCTTTCTTCGTCAGCACTGCGTAGAAGGAAAAATGGCGTTCGCTCCAGTAGTAAAAAGACTTCGATGTGGTTATTACCCGGATGTTCCATTCGGTTACTGGGAAACACTTGGTTTTGGATTGATAGCAATATACAAATCTGACTTCGATCTTGTGGGAGGAATGAACATACGGGAGTTCACAGGTTGGGGAGGGGAAGACTGGGAACTACTAGACAGGATTCTTATGTCAGGGATGGAGGTCGAGAGACTCAAGATCCCGGATTTCTATCATTTTTACCATCCTGCGTTTGCTGGAAGTAATAAAAGAGTTGGCGCGTAAAACAATAAATTTGAGGAATCATTCCATTTCATGGTAGAATCTGCTTCGATCGCATTTATGACTGGTATAAGAAAACTTCGCTAATCGCTTTGCTGGAAACGGAAATTCAAAAGTTTTCAACACGCAATCATAGCTGAAAACACTTTTGCAAGTTTTACAGATGTATACATAACATAACCCAACCCAATAGTTACGATTTTAATTTCATTTTTTACTCAATGATTCGGAAACCCTTACGAGCCAGCAATTCTCCAAGAAAATTAACATTAAGAATGATATTTCGGGCCGCGGAACGGTGCGGATCATGTACACTTTCTTCAGAATCCTCATTTACGTTTGTTTAATTCTTTACCAAACTGATGCAAGTAATTTCATTTTCAAATCGTTGGCTGCTTTGTTTAACTGTAAGTAAAAATAAATTTATAAATAATAATAGAAAATAATCTAGCCTTGATAACTTAAAAGTCGCTAGAGAAAAAGAGAATAGTATTTGTTTGTTAAAATTTTTAAATGAAAGCATTTTTTATGATAAAACATTAACATGTTCTACTTCTCACAGAACTATCAAATGAAAGCATGTTCAAGCACAGCTTGATTAGACTAAGTATTTAATCATTTCAGTTTCAAGATGACAATCGCAATTCTTCCCACTAATCATGATCGCAATACATTTGTTCTAATGTAAGTGCTGAGAATTCGTTGGTGTATCAAGACGACATCCCTAAACGATGATTTTCGTTAATTTCAGCACCTGTCTGCTTGGCACTGCATTGATTGCGAGGAGAAATTAAATTTTGATCGCTTGTTCACGACACAGTACATTTTTGCTCGCTCGTTCGTAGCCTTTATCAGTTCAAGTACGAAATCGTACATCTATTACAATCTACCTCGAGAAGAGACGAACAAGACAATCCTGATGATTTTCACATGTTAATTAATAATTAAAGACAGAATATGAATGAAAGCTTCTGTGACGATCTACAACTTCCCCCCACCCCCTACCCCGACTGAAATGGATTTCGCTCCACGTCGTCAAACATTTAAATTATCTTCAGTTAGAGAAGAAAAAGTTTATGTCTTTGACAAAATAATAAATGGCTTGCTTATGGAAAATGAAATCTAATACAATTGTCAGATAATTTTAAGCATGCTCGGACACATTCCCGGATCTGAGAACGCTTTGATTAAATCTCTGTGCCAGCTTGACTGGGCCGTGTTCAAAGACTAAGGGACACCGCAGCTGGGTGAAGCCTCCTCTGTGCCATACTCGGCATAATTTCCCACTCTTGAGACATCAGGTCAAACGAGTCCAACCGGTTAGAATACGCCTTCATCCACAAATTCTCGTTCCCGCCACACAGAAACATTCGCGAGCTGATCATACAGGTGCCGCAACCAAATCGCGTGCAGGGCATGTTGGGAAGATCAAACCACTTCCGGTTGCGAAGGTCGAACATCTCAATGGAATCTAGGGAGTAGTCACCAAGCGTCAGCCCTCCTGCCACAACAAGCTTCTCGCCCACACCCACGACTGCACAGCGGCGGCGCTTGGAATTCATGGCGGGAAACGTCTCCCACTTTTCTGTTTTCAAGTTGAAACACTCGACTGCGTCAGTGGGACGACCAAACGCGTCCCCTCCCGCCTGAAAATAAGTAATTTCAAATTCGTCACGTGTCCATTAAAAAAATATTATTTAAGCTAGCGAATAAAGCTATAGCATGAAGTGACCAGGGTTGTTAGTTAGTTAGTCTCTCATGGGTTACATCAGTATTTTTCTAGGTTGCCCAAACAATTCACCAAGACTCTAATGTGCTCCTGGAAGGACAATGTGAGAGCAAGGTGTCTTGGCCGAGAACACCGTTGCCTGGAGGTTCCACCCAGGATCTGCAGTCTAACGTACTACTCCTCAATCAACAGGGTATGTCAAAACTATCAAGGTGTGAAAGATTTCAGCGGTTCTTCATGATCACTGCATTGTAAACTGTCTAAAATGAGACTTTTAGGTTCAAAGCTCAAATTTTTCGTACGTTTCGGAAATGTTGTCTTATTATATCCCTGAGGTCTCTTGCAATCTAAAAGACGAAATCTCTCGGAGGAAGAATCAACAGAAATAAATAACTTTTTGATTATTGTTAAAATTTGCTAGGAGACATAGAGAGGATTAGTGCATTTGAGGCGGAAGAAAAGCTCTCTTGAAGATTCAAAATTAGATTTTTTAGTTAATGTTTGATTGATGAAGACTAAAATAGACTACCCTCCCCCCGCCCCCACCCCCGCCTGATTTACCTTCGTCCTAAATGTAATCCATTTGGTGTTACCCTTCTCCCCTATTTTTCTCCTCTAACTTTCAACTTGGTAACTCAACCTTTTGCTGAAAAGAATAAGCCGGGAACTTACCACAGCAAAGTAATCACCCACAATAGCTCCCCCGCTCTTGGTGCGAGCCGTTGGCATGGCAGCGGCTTTGAGCCACCTTTCGGTCTTAACATCAAAAATTTCCACTGAATCTAGCTCTTTGTTGTTGAATCCTCCCGCTACCAGAAGGCGCGCCCGCGATTTATCCATGGCACCACAGGGGTATGCGCGAGCTGTAACCATGGGTGCCAGTTTTCTCCAGGCCTGCTCTTGCCACTCAAACAATGATGTGTTATCAATAGGCTTCTTCCTGCCAGGAAAATGTGTTCCATGATTAAACGACGGGTTTGGTTTGTTTCTTACAATACTAATTTTAATATTGTCGCGTGTTGTCGGTCAAGGTAAAGGTTAATATTTCCTGTAAGTCAGAATATAGAGCGGTTTTCACTTGAGTGTCGAAAAGTAATTGGCTTTGCATTTATACACGGCACGATTGGCTTAAAAAACTCGCGCCACTTTTTCATCCAATCAGAAGTAAAACCAAAACCAATCGTGATTCGCTCGCACAAGTTTTCCCGCGCTTTACCTCAGCTACTTGTATTTATTTAGAGTGTCCATTGGTTCATTGGATTGTCTGTGTCCTTTGTTATTGGCTAAAGGGGCTTACTTTGGTGTTGGTTTTGCGACACTTCGTTGAAAACCGCTCTAGATATTGTTTATCTCGTTCTTTCAGAACTCCTTACCATCACATCGAAACTGTCAGGAGCCCATGAAACTGTACATTCGTACTAACACATACAGATATAAAACCAAGCTACGCAAATGACTGCGCATAGAACAGACAGAAAAAAGTAACTGCAGAATAAGCAAGGCGCCATAGTCTTCTCATACATTTAATGTAGGCTAGTAACATATTTGTGACGTCACCTGTCAGATCCTCCAGCGATAAAGACCGCACTCCCGTAAGACCCCGCGGCCAGGCTGTTGCATTCCACTGGCATGGGAGGCAAGTCAGCCCACGTGTTTGTAGTCAGGCAAAAAGCTTCCACAGTATTCAGCTCAAATCTTCCCTCGAATCCTCCGCAGCATACTATAACGTCTCCTTTGAAAGAACTGAAGTGGACTTTCTCAGTTCCGTTAATTATCTCGTCAGCCATCGGTGATGATCTGAAGACGAGGAATACCTTAAGTCAGTAGACGGCCCATGTCTAGATCTGTATGTATTGCGCGTATCTAAATGGCATTTTTAGTCAACTAAGAACGCTAGCTTTTATTGGCAGAATCTAGCCCTGGACTCTTGGGACTGAATTCATGTTTTTCACTATTATTCCTATCGTTTCAGCAGTACTCGCCGATTATCAACCCTCGAGTGCACGTTGCCTTAATTTGGAAGGAATAGTCATAACTATCAAACGTAGCAACCCTATTTATATTAAAAGAAGAAACATAAAATATAATTTATTCGCGAAAACAACTCGTCTTACCAATCTGCTAGCGAAAGTAAACTCGCAGAAAACAAGAGTGAGTAGCATAACTCCATCATTTCACTGCCTTACTACGGATCGCTTTTTCATACAACTCTTCCATGAAGAAACAGTGCCATTGTGGTATTTTTTCTATCATATTTAGAATTAATTAACGTTTATTCCTATTACCAGTTAGGTTAGAGTGTTCTTAAATTTAAATTAAATTTTATTACTGTAAATATAGATTTTACACACACTCCAAGACAACGATTAACTTGTCAGTTCCAGTTCACATGGGAAAGAAAAATAAGAAATGTGTTACGAGACTCAAAAAGGGACCGCTGAGAAAAGGGCTTTCGTAAACAAACCTAAGTACCATCATCCAGGATATTCACACGACATGAATTTTAAGGTCTTTAAAATTCTAACTTCCCTTTGTTTATGTAAAAGAAATTCAAGTTTAATTTGAAGAACTTGAGAAACAATTTTTACCCAGAAAAACTGCAATTCGTTTATTGATATTCAAATATTGCCTTTTCATCTGATCACGTGCTAGCTACATGGAGGAAATTTAGTATTGAACGAAAACACACTATTCCCCGAGGCTATGGAAAATCTGATGGCGGCACCCGAGTGACCACGAGAAGCTAATTGATTCGCGTGTTTAGAATTACCATCATGTTTTCTGAATTGCTTTTTACCGCCTTACAAGTCATGCTTGTTTGCCCGTGAAAGATAAATCTTTAGATACATTCTGCCCCTGAGGTGGTTAACGCTCGTTCTGTTGCTTTCGTCTCTCATATCTACTCATTAAAAATGTCAGACCTGCATCATTAAGACTATGAACGTACCTTACACAGGATTTCATATTTAACATATTTTACTGTACAGTATATATTTACTCAAACGATCCGAAACTGAACGAAACTGCAACTGGTCAAGTGATAAAGAATGGAAAAAACAGAATAATGAACAGAGCATCGAGTGCAAGAGACAGTAAAACACAAACTGAACAAATAGTATTCTGACTGTAACAAAATATAAAGCTAAGAAAAAAGGTCAGCAGGTCACATAAAATTAGTTGTGGTCCTCTTGTACGAAGAAACAGAATTCAAGGGTCAAAATTCTTGAAATCAACACGAAAATACTGCTATAAGTCGCTCAGTTTCTGCTACAAAACACCCGGCAGTCAAACGTCTGTCAAATGGTAATCCAAGACATGGCCAGATATTTAAATGTATGTTGTCGCCGCACGCCGTATAAGTCTAATCGACCAAAACGTTTCAAGTAATAACATAAAGTAACGTACAAGAACTCTATCAAGTCGACCGAGGCAACCTTCCTGCTAACGCGCGAGTCAAACAACTGAAAATAACTAGATTCTTACCTTGCTTTGCTCGAGCGTGAGAGTTCAAAACGGACTTTAATATATTCCACGAACGCCAAAATTAAATTTCCTCTTTGCTTTCGATAGGTTAAAGCCTTCCTGAGGTGTAAACAATATCGTCAGATATCTGTCACTGGTTGAAAGCTTTGAAAATGAACCAATTTTTCGCCAATTTCTTCACAACATATTTTAGGCTCCGGAGGTTTTCAAGATCCGCGATGATCAAAGGCCAGTTGAAAAAACCCGGCCTCGCCAGTTGTTGAATTCGTTTCAAAGATTGCTTGATTATTTATTTGCATGAAGCGCGGTATATAAGGTGCCTCACCTCCGAGTAAAATTTGCATAACAAGGCATTCAAAGATATAAAAGAATACCTCGTTTTGTGTACATATTCAAATTGCTTGTCATTACTATGTAGAAAAAGCCCGCAGAAAAGCCTTACTGTTTGCGTTCAAATGGAAGCTGCGCAAGTCAAAATACGTAAATGCACATTAAATTTTATTTTTTTAAAAAGTAGTTATTTTTCCTGGATAGATATGCACAGTGTTTAACACTGAAAAAAGTACTAAGTTTAATATGCTTTTTATTTTACTTTTCGTAGCCAAATTTACTGCGCCAATAGCTTTAGAAAACTTTGTATAGACAAAAGATGAACGTTCGCCTCTCAAACTTGCAGCGGTGAGCCACATTATGTTTGATTAAGTAATAGAGAGTGTTTTTAAGCGAGGGATTCTTCAGGCTAACAAAAACACAGCAAGAGAGCTTTACAATTTACATGTTTGGTGACTCGAATAATGTGTTTGTTTCCTATCAATATAAGATGTTTTCTATAGTCTACATGGGGTTGAGCAATATATTTGACAATATCAACAATGGGAAAACGGACATGGTGAAAAAGTGTTTTTGTTAGGGAAAACGGGTTGCTTTAGCCATCACAGCGTAAAGCGGGATTAGTGTTGAACCCCGGGAGTTTATAAGTTGAAGTGCTTTTCAAGTTGAATGAATTAGTTCCAATTGTTCTTGTTTTTAAAACTTTCCTGTCAAAGTACTGTCTGTTTTATTTTTTCCTATTTGTTCACTTTAATTAATTAAATTAGTTAGTTAGTTAGTCTTTATTTATTTATTTATTTATTTATTTGTTTCTTTATCCACTTATTTTTTCGGGGGATTGCGAAAAATAATGATTTTCGCACTCACGATCGTCTGAAAGGGGGGTGGGGGGGGCGGGGGGTGGGAGAGATTATTATTTCCCGGCTCGTTTTACGCCTGTTTACAAGGAAAGAGGGTTACCCTGGTAAGCAGGTTACCCCAGCACTCACACATTTCCTCTTTTTTTCCTTCGTCGTGTTTACAAGGCAGCTAGGGTTACCCAGGTAGGCGGGTTACCCTATCTGCGTGCTAGGGTTACCCTGGCAGGCGGGTTAACGTTTTCCCTTGTAAACACTCTAGGTAGGGTTAACCCGCCTACCCATGTTAACTTTGTACTTATTTCCAGACCCTCCTTGTAAACAGGCCCTAAGACGCATCAGCGTCCAACAGTAAAGAGTTATTGGATAGTGAAGACAGTCGAACCTTCACGGCCGCTAACAGCCACCTCACTACAACGGCCTTTCTTTGACGCGGGGATGGTACATAGGGATAGTTTTGTAAAGCGCCTTGGGCAAATAATGGATGTGTGCGCTATATAAATGAACAATTATCATCATCATCATCATCATCATCATCATCATCATCATTATACACTTATTTCAACCTCTCTACAACGGCACCGACTATAAAAGCGCCTTTCAACTACCAAAATTAACCTCAAGATAACAACTAGTTAAACAACGACTAACGAACGTTGTATTAGTGACCATTATTCTGTCCACAGACGTTTAGTATTTCGCTACGAGTTTTACCCCGGGCTTTTTAAATCCCATGCGGACAATAATTTTGATTGCGCTCTCGACGAACTCATCAAGACAAAATAGATGGTCTGTGGACAGACTAACGTTGCATACAAAACCGGTGATTTAGCCATAACCATTTAGCCGTTACAATTTCTCCATCTTTTCTCGATTTCCCTCTTTCAGTGCGTTCTGAAATGTAACGCAAGGAGTCAAGCACGGATATATATGGATATTTTTACCTCTTGCTGTTTTCTTAGAAGTATTAAAACCTTCTCAGAGGAGGGTATTATTTTCAATGAAACCTGTTAACAATTAACACAAGCGATTTGAACCGATAAGAAACTAGCGGCAAGCTTCTAATTCTATAAAGCTCGAGAACGATCAGCTGGGTTAGGTTCCATGTACAATTGTCTGGAGGTTAGGCAGTTTAACTATTCCTGTTTCGGACTGGTGTTCAAGAAATCTCAAACAAGTCTTGAAGGTTATTTTGATAAACAGGAAGTGATGCCAGGGAAACTATGAACTTGGGTTTGTCTCATGTCACACGGACTAATGACAAACAGTCCTGATCAATATTAACCTGCCCAGCCTGACCTAGGGCGGCACGAAAATATGGCGCACAGCTGGTACGATGACAGTTAGAAATCTGAAGCATATATAAAATGAATTTCACAGACGACTTCACACTTTTTAAACGCTAAGTTTTATGGTAATGGTAATAAGAGGAATGTGCGGCAGGATACGAAGCATGAATCGGCAGCAAAATGGCCCGTTTGCTGTCAATTCAGTTTCCCATACAAAACGTTTTTAAACGTGACAAGGTTTCAACTGACTTCTTCTAGAAGAGCTCACCGCCCGAAAAGAAACATCCCTTAGCGAGTCATGTTCAGTTTGTGATTTTAAACTCATATTGATGATCTTTTCGTGATACTGTTAAATAAGAAAATTATCTTCAAAACATTTCCGAAGTATTTAGAGGACTGACATGTCGACGTGAAAAGTCACAATGTACGGTTTTGATTCCTAATGATGCTTGGGGTTCAGTGGCAATTCAATAATTAATCAAACATCCTTTTAACCAGTAGCAAAACAATTGGGGCTTACCTTATTCCAACAAATACCACCAGAATATTTGCCATGAATTGCTACATTCTACTGACTTACCTGGTAGCAATCGCTGGCTAGTGTGGCTGGCTGTATTGAGTTCCTGTAGAATAATATCCGCCTCCTTGAGGACTTGGGTTTTGTAATGAAATCCTCTGATGCTTTTCGGTAACTGGAGTGTGGCAACCTCGTTTCCAAGGTCTGATTTTCTCCCTTATCTCTAGGGCGTGATCATAGCCTACGTGCGTAGACTGTCACTGAACTAAATGTTTTCTCGTGCAATCGTAAACACAAAAAATGTAGTCAAAAAATTAAAAATCCTCACATTGGTTTAGGTATGGCCGTGGATAATACCAAGCATTGCTCAACATCTTGACATTCAATATGTTTGACCTTGATATCTTGCAGATAACCATTCAACAATCTGTCTCTTAGATATGTCAGGTTTTTTGAAAGCACTGTCACATCAAGAAGGTGTTTGTTTCAGCCTGTTTGTTTCGCCCACGCCGGGAGCCTGCTCGCGGGCTAGGTTCCCTAGGCTAGGGTGATCGGTGATCCAGCGTTTTCCACTACTCACTTCTGGGTTTGCGTGTTGATCAATCGCTGTCATTTGCATCCTGTATGTGTTGTTGCACTGTTACAACAAATTTTAGGCAGAAACGGTTGATGTGATTTTGAGAAATATACGCGAAGGTCTTTTCAAAATGGTTTCAAAACCGTCTCCTCGCTACCCAAGATCCCGTGCGCCACCTTACCACTTTCCTTCGTGTTTTGGAAAAAATCAAATTGAAAACCTACAAAGTACCAACGTAATGCTGAATTTCTACGCGTGACCTATCTAGCGGAACTGTTACCCCAAGAGAACGATTATCCAGATCTATATTTGGGCCTCAAGTAATACAAAATTTTTTTATATATTAATAACATGTAGAAATATAGACGAAGCACTGGTGGTTCAGTGGTAGAATTCTCGCCTGCCACGCGGGAGACCGGGGTTCGATTCCCCGCCAGTGCACATTGATATCTTTTTCCTTCTTTTTTTCTTTTTAATTTTAAATCCTTAATCTTTTTTTCCTCAAATCTAGTTGGAGTTTTCACTCTTAGATGTAACAACAGACATCAATATCACGAGATAGTTTCACGATACTGTTCGGGCCATGTAAACATAGTCTACATCAGTGTTCATACTTGACCCTATTGGTGAAAAAAACTTGTGCGGTACATGTACAACACACCCCTGATCGAATACGATTATTTGCATTGCTACATCAGACTTATGAGTGTTAAAACTACACTTTTTTCTATCAGTCCTTGGACCAAATAATAGAATATAAACAAGGAGATGGTAAGGTAAACAAGACAATCAGTTGTAAGGAAGTTTTAAAACAGGATAGATAAATACGTCAATTGGTTAAATAAGTAATATAGTTAAAAAATACACTGAATGACGACTTTTGCAGTTTTAAAATTTACATTTTATAATCAGGTAATCACAAAACATAAAAACCCAAACTTAAAACTATCGGTCAAAAACCAGTATCATATACTGATACAGTCTGTAAATCCTCTAATTAGCACCTGGGGCACTTATTTCAAATTTAGCAGAAGACGGGAGCGTTTATTTAATTTTTCCTAAATCGTGGTCAGATATGATTGGGTTTTTGTAATACATGTACCAGTATGTGTCAGTCTGTCCGAAGTCTCAGATCAAGAGGGATCCTGTCTCTCTTGAAGAACTAAGTAACAGAACCCCATCACCCAGTCTGGGCCTGCTGCACAAGGTTGGTTGGTCTTTGGGCAATGAATCAGCAGATCCTCACTACCATCCGTTGCAATGGTCAATGTGCAGTGCTTGAATGAGTCGATAATTACTTGCTTGGGATTGAACACAACCAAAACTATACATCCTTTGTTGTCTCAGTACTCTTCCATAAACAGGGGAAGAGGTGGGGGGCGCTTATTCGAGGGGAGGCGCTTATTTTAAATTTTGGCCAATAGGAGGGGCACTATCGATAGGGGAGGCACTAATTCGAGATTTATGGTCTTCCTGGCTTTTCTCACCTCCAACTGAAGAAATAATGAGAAATATGGATATATAAAACAAGTGGACCCTGACTTCTGTTGCCCCCAAAATATCAAGAAAATCATCAACAACCAGTATATCCTCTCCTTTTCTTCTTGAAAAGATGGTTAGATTCTGCTTGCTAATTGACAGGTTATTGAGAATTATATTAAGCACTTGTTGTCAAGGACTATGTGCATATTATCAAGAAAATTTACTGTTTTGCACGAGTTAGAGTTAGAACAGTTATTTCTGATGTGGATCCAATTCTCAAAGGCACACTATAAAAATAAGTTCCAGAGGAAACATAAACAAATGTTTCTTTCTCTTTATACAGACCGGAAAAAAATGGATTGTAAAAGTATATTGGTATGTGCATGGGAAAGAACTGTCCTCCATGTGTGTGACCAGACAATATTAAGTCTATGTCCTGATGTTCCTTCAGTGCTTGATATGCAGCCCATGGTTGGTGAGCAAGAAGTATTGTTGGAAACTTGTTATGTCTTCCACTAAGAGCTTGTGACAACTTCATTCCATGGTTTTCATAGCTGTAATCATTTGCAAACAAATACAAACATGAAAAAAAACATCTAAAACACAAATTATTAAAAGAACATGCCAATGCACACACAAAATCAAGTGCCTGTCATGTTTCATGGGGGATATTTGAGGGTTTCCATAATCTGCAAGGAGGCCAAGTAGTGGGTCCATAGTGGCCCACTACTTTGTCAGAATGTTTCCTGGTTCAGAAGGGATGCATGTCTATTGGAAGTCATCCACAGAATTTATTAGGTTGTCCTACCAGTTTGACACTACCGACAGCACCTGCTTATCCACCTGAATAGAGAGAGGTATTGGAATAATAACACAGAAAATTGGGCAGGTGGGTGGGGAGGTAGTAGCCCATTTAAACAACTAATAAATAACAAGAACCTACTTCATGCTGCCAGCCTGTATATCATCTACCCCAGCAAGATAGATCTTGTCTTCAGGACTATCTTTGCTTGAAATAAGTACATGTGAGTTGTGGAGAGGTTCAATACCAAGTTGCTTTAGCTCTTGGAGCCAGGCATCAGCATCTCCAGTGAGATACTCGTGATTCCCTAATGAAAGAAAAAAGTCAATCAAGGAAATATATTAACTGTGTCATTAACCCTAAAAGTGCTTATGGTTAAATATGTAGTCAAAAGAATACCCTATATTTCCAGAAGGCCAACAATATTAAGCTTAATTTCACTGGAAATTGATGGAACGTTTTCTACTAAATGAATTGTTTTCATCTAGACCACATTGTTAGGATGGCCTAACATAAACCCTTGGCCTTACAGATCACATTATCTATTAAGGAGTGTATCAACAGCCTTGCATATGGTAGCTGCACCCAAAGCACGAGTAGCAGTCAAAACTTAGCTGTCCTACCGAAACAACATGATAATAGCCTTTTTCTTCAAAGCTAACAAAAATAAAGGTAATGCTAAAGTTGCTTTGGCCTCTTCTAATAGTTAACTTGAGAATTCTGGATTAAATTTGACAAGAACCAGCACATTTTGTTCAAAATAACACATTTATTACCCTATCTGGCGACACTTAACGAACTATGAGCGAGTTGCCACGTTGGATGCTGGCGAATGCTTTGTATTTTTCACTTTTTACAATCTGATTTGGTTTTGGGAATTGTAAGTTCCTTTTTGTGAATATTTAATGCCATCTCTAGTGAGAAAAGTTGCCTGCTGTCAATGCTGTTCCTGTTAACTTACATTGACGTCAGGAAAGTAAAGTTTTTCCTGCCTGCTGAATCCTGATTGGTCAATTCAAATTTCAGGCAGGCCAGCTGTATGCAAGGAGGGTATGATCCCCTATCTCCCACCCCTGTCTCCTTCCATTCCCCCCCTTCCTCCCCTACCCTGCATCTATAATTTTAATACCTGTAACAAAGAATGACCCATATTTTGATCTCAGGTTCTTCAGAGGTAAAACAGCTCGTTTTAAGTTTGCTACAGTTGAATCAACCAAATCTCCTGTAATAACAATGATGTCTGGTTTTATCACAGAAACCATGTTCACAACTCTGTCAAGTGCAGCCTGTCCTATCATAGGACCCAAGTGAATATCTGAAAGTTGAACTATTCTCGTGCCGTCTAAAGTTCGTGGTAGTTTTGCAAGAGGAACAGTCAGTCTCACGATTGTTGGCCCTCGGGATGCAGCAGTTAACCCTTGTATACACAAAAGCAGAGATACAGTAACAGCTATGATGGCCTTCCACTTGTCAGCATTGGGTAATGAGAAGCTGCAAACTCTTGAAACTGCGAAAACTACGCTAAGGACACACAGGTTGAAGAACACCAGAAGAAGAAGTCCTAGACATGTAAATGCCACTCTGCTAATGAAATATGGCTCGAAACCGACAAACAGTCGACCGATGAGAACACTGAAGAAGGCCAGACCAAGAACGATCGCAAGAACTGCGTACAAAACCCAATGAACCACGAGTAAAATTTTTGAGTTGGACCGCCGGCTGGGGAGCAACACTGTCAGATTTATCCAAACAAACCGCGACAAAGCGCACATAGCCATGAAAAACAGCAAGAATACTTGAATCCTGATTAGTATAATCTTCCTTTGTGGATTTAACTCGAGAAGTACCGTTCCTGCCATTGTCGTGGCTAATAATGCTGCGATAACTCCAAACGGACGGTACATCCCCGAGTCCGCCATATTTAAACCATACCCAGTTCTCTTGTGTGACAGGTGCATCACCAATGACCAATGACGGTAGTCGGAGGTGGGAATCAGACCAAATCAGGGGCCCAAATCTGTAGACCGCAAAAAGAATCCCCCAAAAAGTCCGTACCAAAATCTTTCCTCAAAAGAAAGTCGCTGTAAAGTTCCTATACCGAAAAAGTCCTCAGGTCGCAAATTGCAAACCCAGTATAGGTCTTCGCACCTATCCGTCATTGAGTACAGCCCCTGGAACCTGATATTGCAGGGTTACAAGAATGCCCCTCAACATTTTTTCCGTGACCTACCCGGTTTTAAAATAATAAGTAACTGAGAAAGGGAATAATGAAACACCATAAGAAAAGAACATTGTATTTTCAGTTATAAAGATTTGTTCGATACGCAAGTCAGTGAATTAGGCGGTTACGAATATAAACCGTGAAAAAAAAAAAAAAGGCTTGAAGTTGAATGGGATTCGAACTAACCCATGACCTCTGAGGTGCAATGCTCTGTTTGTGCTCATTTTTATTCTCTTTCCTTTGACTTAATAATGACGTTAAGCAAACGTCGACACGTCATCGATCGCTAATTTCAACAAAAATGGCTTTCTGTTTGTAGAGCAATGCAACCCTGGGAGGAGTACTCCCAGAAAAGTTGGTTAGGGGGTGTGCGGCCCACTTCCCAAAACCCTTACCCTATTTATGACCAAAAGATGTGATTTTGGCTACCCTATTTATGACCTGGCCAAAAATTTGATACCCTATTTATGACAGTTGCGGCTGGCACAGTTGCCCTAAACATAAGTTATGAAGGGCTTTTGTTGATGGTCTTATTGATAATGATGAAAAAGTAGCTTCTTCTAAGAAATATACCCCATTCAAGACTAGAGTGCTAAAACCATACCCTATTTAGACCAAAATGGCCAAAACCGATACTCTATTTATGACCAAATCAGCTGAAAAACCCTACCCTTTGGGGCCATACATACCTATATAGCCCATGTGGGGGAGTACCCCTCCCCCCTGGGAATGCAACGCACCCTGCAAGCAGATCCTTTTCTTTCAGTACATATGCTTTTCACGCTCAAGAGACAACAGTGGCTCTGCTTGCAGGGTGAATGCAACGGTGTCGTGCTTTGAATCAGCTGACTTACAAAATGAGAACTGCTCTTGTGTGTGTGGTTATATACTCAATCACACTTTTAATTGGCTGAAACCAATAAAGTGTAATACCGAATACAAAAGCAAATCAAGGATGCTAGTAATGTTGGGCACCTTTGAGACAGTGGTACCGACAGTCCCATAAATGATAATCTGATAAACAAAGTAGATTTTTATTAACAATTCTGCCATTATCATATCAGATATGGTCATTAACATTCTCATCCTGGGTCAACTCTTCTAACACTAAGATATGCTTTATATAATAGCAGCATCCATTATTTTTAAAACAGCTACATGCCTTTAATTGTTAAATAAATTAAATATAATTAAAGTTTTAGAAAAAATGTCATGCTCTCTGTATTGCCTGTATGTTTGATAAAAAGAATGTTATACATTGAAACAACCACACTCCCATTGGATGGGAAAGAGTGTACCCCTCCCCCCTTCAAGCTACCTTTCAGGCTTTGCTATTTGAAAAGTAGGGTATAGTTGCTGTTGCTTTTTAATATAAATGTATTATTAAATCACCATTACTTAAAATAAGAAATTTTAGTACGTTAAGTGTCTTTGTCTTTGTTCGTAACTAAAAGCTTACACTTAGACAGCAAGAGATGTTCCTACCAAAAATATTTCCATTTTTAAGACCATTCCTGATAGGCATTCAAATAGTACTGCATCAATCACCACTCACCAGTAATTCTATTTAGATTAACACCTTCTGGCTAGAGAATCCTTTCATGTAAATCAAGTGTACCATTATGTGTATGTTACCTTCTGGACGTTTCTTCAGAAACTGTGGTACTGGGCAGGAAAGTAAGTTTAATGAAGTTATTTCAGAAGACGTAATTCTAAAGTGCTTAGAACTGGAAACATTGAACAAATTGTATTACTTCATAGGGCGCTTTTCAATTGAGTGTCATAAAACCAAAACCAAGCCAATTACTTACCAATTAGACTCCTCAGCCAATCTCAATTGCCTGATTACTTTCAACACTCAATTGAAAAGCGCTCTATATTATTATTATTATTATTACTATTACTATTACTATTATTATTATTATTATTATTATTAACATAAACATTGAACAAATTGTATTACTTCATATTATATTAATTTATCATTATTATTATTTACTATTTACCATATATCATTATCATTATCATTACTGATTAGTAATAGTAACTGGTATTTATTGGGGACATGCACTTATTTCATATAAATATTTTAACTCAAAAACTGTAACAACTTGGGCTCTCATAGTTATAATATCATTTGCTGCACACTAGCTCAATATCTTGAAGGTCCCTTACAGTATGGGGGTGCTTGTTTGAAGGGGGCATTCAAAGAGGAGCATTTATCACTAAGAGGGTACTTATTGGAAGGGTGCTAAATTGAATCATCACGGTACTTTAATCTGTCACGATTTTGAGTATTAATTGTACCTATAAATATGCACAGACACACCACTCCTTATAACCTAATACCTCTAGACTTAAACCATGCATCATCACACATCCAGAACTGTCAACACAACGTACTGTTAGTATAAATATAAAACACTCATATACACAGTCAAGAATGCCTCTTGTAGAACACCTGGGCTGTGCTTTGTACCAGACCCCACTGAAGCCAGGCACATTCAAAGGATTACATTAAATATGTGTTTGTTACATTTCTTAGAATTTTGACACTGAATTACACACTGACAGGTACGAGAAGGGTTACAACTTCAACTCCTAAAGTCACAAATCTTTTGCTGGCACAGGTACTAAATTCTCATTAGTACTAGAGATTTTACGCAGCAACTTTTCCATCATTTTACGTGGAAAGTTACAGAAAGCTGTTCTAGCTGCAGCAGGCGTGGGAAGAGGCATCACCAGTGACCAGGTGTTTGTTGCCACGTCATAACATTCCACGGAACTAGTTGCAAGTCCATTTCCACTCCAACCACCACATACATAGATCTTCCGGTTCAAAACAGCAACCCCAGCCTGATAACGAGGAGAACTTAATGATGCCATAAAATCCCATTCATTGCTGTCAAGATCCAGTGCCTCGCATGTGGGCATGAATGTGTTGCCATGATAGCCCCCTATGACATAAATCTTGTTGTCGACAACAGCAGCCATAGCATCTTCACGTCGCTCAATGATTGGAGCTACAGCTGAGGAGAACATTTAAAAGACAGAGTCAGTAGAATAAAGACACAGTAAAAACCTGTGTATAAGAATTTAGATTTCAAGTAAGCTAGGCTCTTGTATATGTATGGTTGTTAAAGATATTGTGGTATGGTTTAGGCAAGTAAGTAGGTTCTTGTTTTTGTAAGAAGAAGAGGTTTTCACCACTAGTCCATTAAACACCCTGCTCTTAATCCTCTGATTTATTTCAGGTTCTCTATGTCCAACAGATCTCAATCATATTTTTTTCTTTTGAAATATTTTTTCTAGTTTTCCAAATGAGAATCTGTTTTAATTTCAAGCCATGCTATTATTTTAGCCCATGTGGATGTCATTGGTAAAGTCCGGTAAAACCAAATCAAGCTTACCCCCTATGGCCCACTCATCAGTACTTGGATCATACATTTCCACAGAGCTCAAGTAATTGTGTCCATCATACCCACTGATCACGTAGATATAGCGACCTTCTGTCACGACACATGCACCATCACGTTGGCTGTTCATTGGTGCCACGAACTTCCACTCATTCTTTGTTGGATCATAGCATTCCACGGTTCTGCACATGTAGAAGAGAGAAAAGTGTTGTCTGAAGATTAGGGGGCTTAAAGCTCAATAAGCCTACATTGGATCTTTGGTACAATGCAACAGCAAAAAGTGGTAGATGCAGTTGATATGGTTAAGATTTCAGCACTGGCTAGAGTGACTGTGCTATAATCCTGTGATAGTGCCTTCCTCTGCCCTAAAGGCTGGTTTTCACTAGAGCATAAGCACAAGCACAAGCATAAGCATAAGCACAAATGAAAACAGCCGAGACATAAACATAAGTATAAGCTGAAACATAAGAAGAACGAACCCACTTATTTGCCTTGTGCAGTTTTCACTAGCAACGCGCTCGACATAACCATAAGCATAAACACAAGAAAAACGAACAGTTCCATTTTTCTTGTGCTTATGCTTATGCTTATGTTGAGCGCGTCACTAGTGAAAACTACGCAAGACAAAGAAGTGGGTTCGTTCTTCTTGTGTTTCCGCTTATGCTTATGTTTATGTCGCGGCTGTTTTCACTTGTGCTTATGCTTATGCTTGTGCTTGTGCTTATGTTCTAGTGAAAACCAGCCTTAAATGGTCACTGCCTGATGTTTGTTAGCCAGGGATGGACTAGTATTCCATCCAGGGAAGTGTAGGTCCCCCCCTCAACTGTGCTTACAATGTTAGGTAGTATGAGCACAGGTGAAAATGGACACCTTTATGCCAGTGTTTTTAAAAGATCCAATGGAGTGTCAAAAAATTTAGACATAAAAACACTTGTAGTTCATCTATGTGGTCTTGTCTGAGAGGGTACAATGTAGCTCTGAAAAGAACTGCTGGCACTGGTAACTAATGTTTTAACAACCTGAGCTGAAGTCTCCATCATATTCAAGTGAGAAGTGTTTGTCAGTTAATGGCATTATGAGTCTGCTCTGTTGAAATTAAGGTTTATCTTTTTCAATACCGTTATTCAGCATTTAGGAATCTAACATTCATTAAAGGTTGATATTTGAAAGAAGCCTGGCATATCTTACCCAATGGGTGACCTCCCGTCATAACCCCCAACAGCAAACAGTAATCCATTTAGGGCCACCAAACCAATGTTACTGCGAGGCACATTCATTGGTGCCACAACATTCCACTGATTAAAGTCTGGATCATAGCGTTCACATGTGTTCATTCTTTTCCACTCTTTACTTCCACCAACCACATAGACGTATTTGCCCATGAACTCTATGCCTGGACAGTGGCGAGTGCTCAGGCGTGAGATGCTGTGCCATGCCTCTGTTTCAGCATCATAAATTGAACACACTGGTCCTGCAACTGTCAAGAGAACACTGACAGTTCGGAGACATCTTCTAGGGACTTGCCATTTTGAAGATTCCGTCTCTGTCATTAAGCCTTCTAACTCCATTAGAGAGTAGATCTGCTGTCTTGCCTTTGAAACAACATCATGAACTTCTGGGTTTTCAGTTATCAATTCATCAGTTGCGATAATTTCTTCAAAGTATTCAGGATTGATTTGAGGAAGGCGTATTTTTTCAAGCAATGATGAAAAATGCTTGACCCGTTCTAGGCGATTGTGCTCGACCCATTTTAGTAATAGTTCGTAGAGATCTTCTTCTCTCGTAATGACGATCTCGTCATTCATCAAGAGCTCTCCCAGATCCGAATGAGGCAACAGCAAAAACTCTTCAGATTTCGCAGCTTCCATAAAATTTTCTTCGATGAAAGTGTTTACCCGATGCAGTAGATCCTTACAATTGAATTTATCCGAGAGAGCTCGTATTCCCCAGCAATTCGTCAAGGTCAGTCGTTCTTGAATGAACCTGCAGCAAGCTTGGGTAACAGATTCAAGCAAGAGCAGACAAGAGCCACAGAAGACATCCTCCACGTTCTCTTCAGTTATCAGTATTTCGCCCTTGTAGATGAAATCAAGTAGAATCTCCATTCCAGTGGCAGTAATTTCTTTGACCGCAACTTTATCACTCGTAGTCGCCATATGCCCACTGAACATAGCCATGAAATAATCTGAGTTGGCGGCGAGCATATTTCGATGAGCAGGAAACTCTTTGCCCTCCACAACAAGGACTATGTCTGTTAAAACAGAATGCTCTCGCATTCGTGAGATTCTTTTTAGTATGTAAGTGTTGTGAGACTCATCTGCAAAACGCAGCGAATCCTCTTGTTTAAAAACTTCATCCAACGCCATGAACATTGAATTTTGCCTTCACTTTGTAAGTTTTTGCCCACGTCACAAAACCTGTCAATAACTTTGAGGCCACGAGAGAGCGAATTAAATTTGCATTTAACTTGTTAAGATATCTAAAAATCAGCGTGCTTTCCTTTCCTCCAGTAATAGCTACGTAGTGTCTGGTTCTGGGTCTCCGAACACGTGATACACGTCGTCATATTCGTCCCCAGAGCCTCTAGTTTCTTTATTATATCTGAAGCACGTGGCCCTCGATACGTGACAAATCAGTGTGTCTTAATGCGGCTTTCACTGACACGCAAATTCTAAAGTAGCAATTGCCTTTGTCGCTGCCGTCAGTCACAATCACGACGACAACCAAAGATCCTTGGAAACAACAACCAAACAAAAAATAACAATTAACCAACCCCATGTCTTTTTGAACCCGTTGTAAGTAAACTCCTGTTAGTGAGAGGTCCTCCAAGGCGATAAGCTCAATTTCCAGCCGTTTTGCGCGATCACAAACCGGCTGGAAAATCGAGCCTAATAAGACGATTGAGAGCATCGAAACACAAAACTGTTGATTGCGTAGAGTTCGCGGTCATTAAGAGGCGCAGTAATGTTTACAAGACTGACAAGCCCGTAGAACGCGAGATGATTCAAAAGAAAGCTAAGTGCGAAACTACAAAATGAACTTTCTAGCGTTTTGCACGATTACATGCAACCGCCTGTCCTGCAAGCGAGAGCCTGGAGGCTAGCTTTTAATCCTTGGAAATGAACTCTGTGGCATAAACCAATTAACCTGGCGGTGTGTTCTTTATCAGTTGTGGAGAACAACGGTATCTCGTGCACTGAGGAGGGATTAAGTCAGAAATTGTCGTGCACAGTTATACTGACAAAATCACACATCACTTAACTGAGCATCTGCGTATGCACCATTTCTGTGAAGCTCAGCCTGTTATCGAGCTGCGCGTGACAACAGGTGCAAACTAAACGTAACTTTTTTAACCGAATGGTAACTTGACGGCTGGCAGAATTTAAGGGAGTCATTCTTTTTGTGGAAATTGGCGTTTTTAATTCTGACAACCATAACAGGTATTTGTACCTAAGTACGAAGTTGAGACAATATATTATTATCATACCCTACCTACACAAGAAAACATTACACTAACAACACACCTGATGGATGTTAAGAAAATATTACGGAAAATGTACAAAAACACGAACTAGAAGCAAACTGTAGTCCATAGCCTGCTGAGATAGACTACGCCTGCACTTTCAGATCATTTATAACAGCGTGGCTTGTGGAGTTGCGGAAGTACTCATTATACGTTTAGAACTTTCTGAAAAATTCAAGAAATATTTCGCCCAAGTAATACTTAGGAGTCTGAAGATATTCCCTTATTGTCTGAAGGCGATTACAGTACTTTAAACAAGGGTTAATTTTGCACTAACACAGCAGAAGAAACATTCGCTGTCCTCATTTGGCTTATCACGCAACACTTCTGTCACGAAAAGTTTTGTGGTGAGCCAAGTAACGGCTGAAGTAGACTTCTACAATGTGAAACCGAGATATATTATTTCAGCAACGCTTTGTATAATAATAGAGATTTGGTTGTTTCTTTTTCCTGTTCCATAACAAATATAAGATCCTTAAGAACGACTCTCCGCATTCTTTGCCGAGGGACCTAGAAACAAGAGGAAAGTACAACGTCAGACTAAAAACAAAATGGCAAAGGGGAGTTGAGTCGGTTTTTGTAACTGAGAACGTCACATAATGATTATCTATAACACTGCGTGACGACCAACATAGCATCAGTGAAGATGACCCTGGGGCTTAACACCAGTTTCAATATCACTTCCTTGCATAGGAAGGTAGTCCAACACAGGTTTGCCTGCATGTCTTCTGTAAGGTTCAGTTCGTTGCTTTCAATATTATCCTTGGGTGGAGACGAGCTAGGGCTTCAACAGGATCACTCAATTCAGAGCCCAAAGACATGACGCCACCACACCTCTCGTCCGTAAAACAGACTGAAGTAAAGTATTTCTGTCTCACCTGTTGTCGTGTATCTTTTTGGTTTCCAAGTACATTGGACGATAATGGCGAAGAAGAGGTCGAGGAAGAACCCTGGGGAGCAATTGAAGGTAATGACGCTGAGCTATTGAAATAACAAATTCATCTGACAATATTACTACATTATCAAGCACCCTGTGAGGAAACTCTATATGGCACCAACAAGCAAGCTCAAAGTACGGGTTGGAAATCGAGTTTGGTACCACTTTGGCTGTTTTATTTCATTCTAATTTTCAAGGGAATACGTTTTTAAAGTACGCCGCAAATTAATCAGATGTAGTTGTCAATAGATGATTTTCATCTGGACCCTGGCTCTTGGTGGTATTTTTTAAAATTTCTGCCAAGCATCTTGTTTGTATATGTGACTTTTACATGGGAGTCACCTCAGCAATTGTTTATCATGGTGATCGAAAAAAAGAAATCTTCAAGTCAACTGGGAGATGTTGTCTTTGATGTTCTGCAAAATTCTCAGAACTGGTTTAAAAGAAATGTAAGTTTATCAGTAAGAATAATTACTCTTTTGAACTTCCTTGATAGTAAATAGACTTGTTTTGCTTACTGCTGTTGAAGTAGAAGATCCTTCAAGTGCTTCATCTAGTTTGCGTTTTTTCCTTGGTCCAATGGCTGCCAGCGCCGTTGTGTTAGCTGCTCGTTTTCGAATAACTTCCTCTTCCTCTTGTTGCAGCTTGTGAAAACAAGATAAAACACACAAGATTAAACTTACTTAACAGAAATTGATCAATCAAAACTTAATTCCTAAAAGTGATCGACCTTTCTTTTCTCAGTCGAACAACTAGGTAATGCAAATACAGAAAATAAGAAAAACTTGAGGATGTGTTGATGAGCCACTACCTTCTCATAGTTGAAAATGGAAGAAATATTTTTCAACCAGAGAGAGGAAATAAGACTTAAAGCTTGGGATCAAGCAGAAATTTAATGTTATTTATTTTCACTTTTATAAATTAAGTTCTCTTACTTGTTTTGCTTTCTCTTTGAGTCTAGCCTGTTCAGGATCTTCTTGTCTTGACCGGCTCTGTTTATTACAAGTAACAATAATTCAATCACATGTATTTAACTAACTTAAGGCTGTGACAATTTTCTTGCAACTTGCAAAACAACACAACATTACATTTTGCAACTATCACCTAAGAAGAAGTGACCTACATCAAGTACGCCAGGGTGGATGAGAAAATTATATAGTCAAAATTGTGAACAAGACTAAAAATTCATACACCTTAGCCTGAACTGTAAGAGTTGCTCTTCTGACTCATGGATTAGAGAAGGGGGAAGAGGGAAATTAACGGCAGTATGAAGACAAGAGGAAACTCTCTCTTCTCCATGAGAGTCAATCAGCAGTATTCACTGGTATAAAATTCAATGTCAAAGCATACCAAGCAAAAATATGTGACTTACTCTAACAGCACGCATAAGAATATCCCTTTCTCGGGCATCTCGCTTTTTTCTTTCTACTTCATCAATCTGCTCAAAGACTCTCAGTTGAGACCTTATATCAAGGCCTACTTCATACATTGGATCATCCTAAAATAAGGCCAATTAACAGACATTTTACATTTACATAACATTGAAAGAAAAATAATTATTTCTTAATTTTCTAAAGTAAAGTAGGACAAACAACATTTTCCTGGACCTTCTTGCACAGCAATGTTGCATTTGTGTGTAATCCCACATGAATTGGACTGTCACTTAAAATATTACCTCATCACAGATAGGTAGGTAAAGTCTGCATACGAGCCAAGTCGCGCATCAAGCTAGAGTTTATCCTGGTTTCTGTAGCATGAAGTGACTAGGAATATTTCTACTACCCCCTGGATGGAATGCTAGTTCATCACAGGGTTACCCCAGCATTAAGTTCGCCAGTACCCATTTATACACCTAGGTGGAGAGAGGCACTGTGAGAGAAAAGTGCCTTGCCCAAGAACACAACACAGTGTCCCCAGCCAGGACTTGAACCAGGAACGTTTAATCCAGAGACAAGCCCACTAACCGTAAGGTCACTGTACCCCCCACTCCTCATCACATATACTTAGTCTTAAAAAAGCTCACTAATTTCTGAAGGTCTTTCAAGATGTTTATAGAGTGCACTGCCATGAGTTTTAAGTAACATAATTCTACATACCCTATAAACTTCAAGTCGATGTAAACTTATTGTCGATAATTTTTCTAAAATGTTACGTAGTCGCTCTTGAGTTGCATGTGATACTAAGTTATAAACTTCTTGTGACACTTCAGATAAGCCATGCTTTCTTGCTGTAAAAAAAAATGGAAATTGACACTGATAAGAATTTCAATCCTCCTTAAAGAATATCAAAACAGTGTTAAGCTGATAGGTTATAAGAATACAGTGAATAATTAACTTTAGTGTGCTGGCAATCACAATTAATCCTCTGTAAAACAGGGACTGTATGATATGTGGAATATCTTCTGTCATTAAATTCAAACGGCAAACCTCAATTTACCAGATGTCAAGAGGGCACAGAAAGAGAACTAACCATCAAAACTCACATGAATTTTACATAAATACTTCTTGCCTTACTTCTTACATTGTGCCTGTTCACATTCACAAGCAAATTACAAATGGTTTAACTACAGTGTGTTTAGCCACCTGTTACAAAGGTCTGGAATAATTTCTAATGGCCACATTGGTACATTTTAGCAGTCATGTTGTAAGTTCAATAGTGGCTACAGGTGTGATGTTCAACATGTAATGAAGACGGAACAATTTGCTTTTAAAAAGTTACATTCTGTCTGCCAAAAAATTTCCAGGTTGCTTTCATACAGATTCACACTAACACCATATACATCATTACCCAGTTCTTGTATGCATCTTTTTGAATCAAGGCACTTTCCCTTTATTAGTTGTCATGTACAACATAGAAAGTGGTTACTTTCTCATACACTGACTAAAAAAGTGATGTCGTTTTATTAATTTTTACAACAGTGACTGTTACTGACCTAATGCCTCCACTCTTTTCTGAAAGGGGGAAATATTTAAGAAAGGTTCGTCTTTACAGCTTCTTGTTTGGGAGCTAAGCAAGTCTGAGTTGATGGCCAAAATACGCTGACTCTCTTCCTGTTAAGCAAAAAAAGAAAAGCGCATCAATAAAACTGACACAACTTGGAACACTTCATTCAGAGTATGAAGTAAAGGAATCCATATGTGGTCAAATGTTGTTGATAACTATATGCAAACAATTTTTTATTCTTGGGTAAGAGACTCCATTTGCTTTGTTTGGTTTCTACCAGCAAAACCAGATGTCAAGCACATGAAAACTTATACACTCATACCCAAGCATTCAAGAAGAAATTGAGAAAAGTTCTAAGCCTAAAACACAACATAGATCTACACGTTAGGAATATGACCATATCACTACATCTACAGTGTCCGAGATTGATAGTCTATTAATGGCTGAGAGATATTCATCAGCACAAATTATCAAATACCATTACAATCTATTTACAAAGCACTCAAGACTAGATAATGTTACTCCCCCCCCCCCTCACACTTCTTACACCGCTTGGGATGCTGCTATAATTAATTGGAAGTTGGACACCAACATGCTGCTCCTTTGTCACAAACCAAGTGATGCCATTATTGACCACTGCTAAGGTAATTAACCACTTATCAAAATAATGCTGAGCTTACCATTAAATTAACTCCAGCCATTGATGTGACATCATTGATATCATCATCCCCACTGCTGTAACAATATGAAATCCAAGTCAATTAACGACTCCTTTAGAAAACTCATTACAGTGTACAGGTTATTGACCAAGAGGGAGGTCAGATGGCTGTATATGGCCAAGTTGTTAATGGACTAAGATGCAATTAAGGTCCATAAACCAACGAATAAGGCCAATACCCAGCCATCTTTACTGAACAAATTTGGTCAATAAAGGATTTATTACATGAGAGAATCTGGAGTGGGCAAGCCAACCCATCTTTCCCACTTGGGTAGCCAACTACAGTCAAACCTGTATATAACAGCCCTGCATAAAGCGGTCACCCTGTCTATAATGGTCACTGAACAACTTCCCAAAAATCATCCCTTCTATTTGCTGTTAACTTGAGCTGCATATAGCGGTCACCTGTATATAGCAGATGCGGTCACGCTTTAGACTTCCTGAATCCACAATTTCATTATCTTTTACCTGTATATAACGGTCATGAAAGTGGGTTACGATTAACGAATAATGGCAGGCTTTATTCGTCAGCTCCTTAAATAGCAGCCATCAAGGTAGGGGTCTCATAAAAATACAAATATTAGTACTAAACACAATTACTAACACATGAACATGAAGAACTTTCTTTCGAACTGAGTAAAGTTAATGACATGCTACATGAAATCAAGCTTCGAGTTCCGAAATATCAGAAAACTATTACCGATTTTTTTTTTTTCTTCTTGAGATCCATATTGTTACGTTAAAAGCTTTTCCTTATAAGTTTATGAGGTGATTTGTTTTTATATGGGGTCACGCAACTCTTTTACAAATTATTCTTATGGCTTATTTTTTTGTTTGTTGTTCTGTAAATCTGCCATTAAATTGTAATAAATACTAGGAAACGTAGATCCAAGTAAACTGCACCTTCCTTAAAGTACACCATGGACATTTTGTGGGCCTTTTTCATCATGTTTATTTAATGTTGTTACTCGTTATCAAGTTGTCAATAAAACAAAAATTAAATGATTATTTGCACATAAAAATGCTATTTATTGACTTCCAGGGAAGTTTAAGGAAACCTGTGTACAGTGGTCACCCTGTATATAACGGTCACCTGGCCATTCCCCAAGGGTGACCGTTATATACAGGTTTGACTGTACAGTGCTGAATTTGATTTACCTCAACTAATTAACTGACTCTTGAAAAAAACATTTTTCTTTTTAAGCAAAGTTGAGGACTTAGACTCAGATAGTCTCTCAAAACACAGAGACTTATCACTGTTGTATAAATTACATGAAGAACAATACTTGTCACACATCTCCCAGGCTCTGTACCTGCTTATTCCAGTGAAACCTTTGGGCTTTAGTTTGTCAGCTGCTGCAGAGGTTGAAGTTGTCCCAGCTTGTGATCTTGATGAAGCTGAAACCATTTTAGATGCTGTAGATCCAGGTGATGCTTGAAGCATAACAAGATTCCGTGCACTGGTAACTACCTGGGAGCCAGGGGTTGACCCTGTTGATGTTGTCAAAAACACTCTCTGAGCATTTATTTGTTGCTGACGTCTAAAAAGCTGCTGTTGTGCAGGTGTGAGAATAACTTGCTTCACCATCTGGGGCTGTCCCGGTTGTTGAACAATTTGGATTTTTTGCACTTGAGAATTATGTTTGTGCATCTGTGGGGAAGAGGCAAGTGTTGTAGTTGCATTTTTTTGTTGAACTTGCTGTGGAGGAAGGATCTTTGCTGGAGTGATTGACTGCTGCACATGGGAAAGCTGTGATCTTGACTGAGCTCGTAACAATGGAAGTGTTTTCTGATAGGCACAGAAGAAAGAAAGAATGTATCACTCTTTACAGTCATATTAAAATATTCTATTCTTAAATCAAAGGACGCTTTAAAAATACTTTGGCCATGCACAGAAATCCTAGGAAGATCAGGGCTCTCACTAAGGGTTGTAACTGATAACCTCTGTTATGATTATTGATCGAGCATGTTTGATAGGATCTGTTGTAGAGGTGAACTTGCCTGCTGGTGTGATTCATCAATACAACAACCAGGCAAGTTTGTCACAACAGGTGACTACATAACAGCACTGAACTACATATAGTACACATAAATAGTATGGGTTGTGGAGACTCTGCTTAGGATTTCCCTTTCAACCAGGAGACCCCATTTTGGAACAAGATCCAGATGTTAGAGTCTGATTAAGGATCCTGCCAACATTCATTTGCTTAACATTTGGAACTTTATTGAAATTTCCAGATCACAACTAACCCCACACTTTCAATCTCACACCCAGAATTTCTGGAAAAAAGAAAAAGTAGTGTAATTGAACACCTTGGAAGAAGAAAGTTGAATAGATTAAAACCTACCTTTAAAAAACCAACAAGATTTGGTTGGGGTGGAGAATTAAGTGTGGACTGTAGATTTGCTGCAAATTGTTCTTCTGTAAGTTTCCCATCCTAAAAAGAAAAGGTCAACTGCTATGTTACAGACTGAAGCAATCATTACATCTATCCAAACCTGTACAGTACCTTAGAGATGAAATCTGACTCAAAAATGTTTTTGATTTTCTTTTCATATGTTGGGGCTCTCTTATTCCTAACTTTGGCTGGCAATAACCATTTCAGTATAACATTGTTTTTAATGATTATCACATTACGAGCAGACAAGATCATAAAAGGGCTTGCCATCCTAAATGTTGATTTATGACTTTCTGGCAACATTGTTAGTACCAAAAAACTTTTAGTCCTTTTATTCTAAGTCTGTCCAGAGGTTTTTTAATTCCTCTTAATATACCTAAGTGAGCCTGGATTGGGGGATTGGGAGAATGCAAACCAGGAATAAAATAAAACATCAACTGGTGGACTCACTTGGAAAAAAGCTTGAGTCCCCTCGCCCACCCTATCTTTATCATCTCCACTCTGGGCATATCAAATAAATTGGACCAATCAAATTTCACAGTCATTAACCATTGGCTATTTCAAACTCTCAATATTTCAAACTATTTGTTGTTACCCCTGATAGGTTGAAATAGCGAGGTTCTACTATAGGTCTTTTCAGCTGTGGGTTTCCCCTCCCCCTCTGAGGAGACATCTGGCATCCTCCAAACAATCAGGTCCTGGGGAAACACCGAACCTACAGAGTAGTAACTTGTTTTTTTTACTTCTACAGCAAATCCAACTCACCAGAACACCTTGCACCAATTCTTTCACAGTCTTGCCAACATCAGGAGATTTTTGATCTGATGCAAGCCTGATCAAGTTGTTGAAAAAATTTTTTAACTTATGAGCTTGCTCTTTTGCTTGTTCAATTTGAGCCACATTGACCTGCGGCTGAGAATGACTGACTGGTGCTGCAGTGGTAGCTTGTGGAGGCTTGGACTGATTAGCAGTGACGTTATTTGTAACTGGTTTGCTAGCATGCAAACCAACATTTGCTACGTTAGGAGAGTTCGAATTTTTTGTTAGAGTTCCAGCTGTAGATGAAATCTCGGTCTTTGATGTTGCAACTGCAACTTGGTTCACAGGCATTCTAGTATAAGTGATTGTACCTGGTATCGTGCTTATTTGAGGTCGAATTGGAGTTAAACTAGTTCTTATAGGAACATTCTGAGATACGCTAACACTCGCCGGCACTGGGCGAATCGGAGTTCGTATAATGTTGATCTTTTTGTCCGGTTGTATAGGTGCGCTTCCCGCCGGCTGTTGTAACACAATTTGAGTTGGGTTTATGGGCCTCATGTTAGCAGCTCTTGGTTGAATTTGTTGAATGATTCGTGGGGCTGCGATGGTTTGAGGGTTGCCTGGAAGAGTCACATTACCCGTTACAACCCTCGGTGCTAGGGCCATTTGTTGAGGATTGATCAAACTAAGGTTCCGGTTAACCAAATCAGCGTTGATCGTAACGAATCGAGGAGCTCCTGCAAATCCAGAGTTTGGAGCAAGAACAGCCATAGTTGCGGGTCGAGGAGCCAAAGGCACTGCTGTTGTAACCGTAGGCCTAGGAGCTATATTAACGACTGTAGTAATCGTTGTGTTACCACCCGCATTTAACACTGGCGACGAAGAAATCCCGGGTCGAACTGCACTCGCTGTTTGGTTCTGAATCGGGCTCGTTTGATTTGGCGTTTTACTAGTCATGTTGCTTTGTTTAGGACTTGCTTTAGAAGCCGCCACCGAAGCTTTGACCTCATTATGATGGGATCTAGGGATCGCTGTTGATGCCAACTGGCTTTCCAGCGATCCCACCATAGCACTGACCTCCTTCTCATCCACTTCTTTCTCGAGTAGGTCTTCTAGAAAGGAAGACGCCATTTGGCTACCATTCTTTTGATGCAGTGGTTTAAAAAGTAAAACAGTATTATGGGATGGATTGGCAGACCAACGCGCGAAAAAAGGCTGATTGGCTCCTTGACATGACGTCACCAGAACAGGAAAGTAACTACTGCGCATGAGTAGTCACTTGCGCATACGAATCGACAAATTTGCGCGTAACATTGCTCGCGTTACAGCTGACTACTAAGGTGCGAAGGCACTCTAACATTTCGATAGTTTTGTTTTTGAAGGGGAGAAACTTCTGTGGTTTTCAAAAATGTGGTGATGTTGTCTCTCCCAATTACTTTTGCCAACCTTACTCCGCACTAATTTGAGCTTAGTGATCGTGTTGTTATATATGGGAATTTGCTGTTGTAAGACCCACGAACCACTCAGACAGGACAGCTACGATGTGGAATACGGAAGGAGTAATATTCCTTCGGCCAATGGGGTGTCTGATCACACAGATAATCTTGTTTTGGATGCCCTTCGCGCTCTCAGGAAGCTCGCAGAGAAGTAAGACTTATTTGTGTGCTTGCTAGTTTAATAGACTGTTAAGGGGACGTACAAATACGGATTTATTGTTTGCTCATTCCGAATGAGCATGTCACTGTGTGTCACTGTGTATCTTCACCAACAGTCCGTAATCAACCTGTCAAAAAGTGAAAAAGAAAAATGTGTTCAAGATAACTTTTGTCGCTTTTATTTATTTAAATTACACAAAATTGTCGTAAACGTAAACAAGATATTTTTCAGTTGCCTTTCTAGTTATTATTTCCGAGCCACACTTGCTCTTAGTTTCACAAACAAGCAACACTTCTTCTAGACTTGCCACAAGTAGACCTCATGAATTTCAGGGTAGAATATGTTAGGCCGCGAAGCGGGATAGAAGATGTTAGGCCGAAAGTCAAACTTTTCCCAGCTCTGGTTGGTGCAGAAGCAAACACATCTCTTCCAGACAGATATGCTTCCACTNAATTTACGCTGAGTCTATTTCTGTTAAGTGGTCACTTACAGGACGTTAAAAACAAAAAAAAGTTCAAACTTTCAGCTCCAAAAGTGGTTGCAGTCGTTTACAAGAGATGGTCACTTACAAGAGGTGATTTGACTTGGAAACTTTTGGTATTTTGGAAAACTGGTCACTGAGGAGAGGTGGCTGCTTATGAGAGGTGGTCGCAACCAGAGGTTCGACTGTAATTAATTCAGTAGTGAAATTAAATTATACAAGCCAAGTAATTTAGAAAGCTTTTTGGTGTTGTTGTATGCATACAAAATGACAGATAACTCCTGGCTGGTTTCTACCCACATTTGAACAAGTTTGACTTTCCCTGTTAACATAGCACTATATCATTGTTATCACAAATTATCACAGAGATTTTGTCAAAGAAGATTAATTGAAAGCTACATTTTGTTATTACCAATGATCACATCATGGTCTCTAACTCTACGTAAATGACAGTTTTAGTTATGTCTTCTACTCTTGTTTAGTCTCTCATGCAAAAAGTGCACAATACAAAACTGTAATGACATCATGACATCATCACTTTCCTCATTTGCATAATACAAAAATATCTCTAAAATGAAAGAAGGTATTCTGAAAAGGAAAACACCATTCTTCTGTACTTTGAAAAGTCTTTCAAATAAGCAACAATTGATTTTTACTTCATATGCACTTTAAAAGGAAATGTTTTCACATTCTTGATCTGCATGACTAAACAAAGGTAGACTACGAGTAGTCCCTCTTTCGCTTAGTCCGAAAGAAAACCGCAAGACAAAAACGGCCGCGCGAAATCCTGGAGGCAAGGGACTACCGCCTAATCCCAAGAGTTTGAATTATGCGTTGCTCTCACAATGCAAAAATATGATTGGCTTATGTTAGGAGCATTGACAACATCTTGTCAACATTTGAGATACATGTGACGTCTTGCAGGAATGTTTTGGAACCGGAGCAAATCAAAGCGGTACCAGAGCAAATTGAAGCGTTGGAATCATGCTTTGCAACCCGCAATGTTCTTGCGAATTGGCCAACAGGCTTTGCAAAGATTTAAATTTATCCAGTGTTTTGTTTGGCAAAGCTTTCCGCCCCCAACCCGACTGTGAGCATTTTAGTGATTTTGCTGCTCAACAGCATTGTCCAAGTCAGTGAATACAAATTCACTGAGCTTGGCCTTTCTGCCCTGCATTTGAAAGATTGAACTGGACTTTCCCTTGAAACCGGACATTCACCTGAAGCTTTCCGCTGCTATCATCAAACATTTCACCGCAGTTGGATGATCTCCTATGTCAAAGACATAATGTAAATTCTCGGTTGAAACTCTGCATTTGAACTTTTAGATTTACACCTACAGACGCAGCGAAAATTGTTATCTGATGTCTCATTCGCCGTCTCCTTTTTAAAACTTCTTTTGCAGTTTCGCTGAACAAATACTGAACGAATACTGAACGAAGATACTTCTCATGGCATTTGTTTTTGCCTGCCTTTTTGAAGTGTAGAGTAGAGCAATTTTATTCAGGATATCTCCTGGGGTTATTGACAACATGCGATAATGAGAGGACGTCAAGATTAGAAATCCTACACCAAAAAATCACTCTGCTGTGAAAGAGCAAACTCTTGAGCTTAGGCGGTAGTCCCTCCTTTTGCGCACTACTCGCCCCCACGATTTCACGTGGCCATTTTTTTCTCGCGGTTTTCTTTCGCATTATGCACAACGGACTAAGCAAAAGAGGGACTACTCGTAGTCTAAAACAAAGGGGCAATTCTGGTATGTTGTCATAAGAAACCCATCCAAGTTTCACACTAAAATTGCCCATCTAAAAATTAATTATCTGATTAGGAGACTTTCTGCAAACATTTCCTAGGTTATCTAGTTTGATGAAGAAGTCAACTTATTATACCTGATTATTTATGGGGAGTTAAACTTTTCAAAAAAGTCAATGAAAGCAATGATAGGACCTTTAACTGACGGTCTGGTCAATAGATTCAATTGTTCAAATGACAGTATTTTCTAAGCCATGGGATTTTCAAAAAGAAACATTTTGACTTTTTTTCTTACACTTGCAAGAAGCCAGAGAATTGCCCCAAAAGCTACATACAAAATCTTTCTCTTGAACATTCACCAAACTTTCACATGTGACAGAGTGATGACTATTTAGCGGCCACAGATTATTTTACTGAGCTTGTGACATAATAAAATAATTGTTAATTTAACTACTTGCTCAAGTCAAAATCACTTTAAACTTTCATTTGGGATCACCAAAATAATTCCTAGACGCCTTTTCGAGAGGGTACTAAATCGAGGGGGAGGGGGGCGCTTATTTTAATTTTTCCCAAATCGTGCACTGACACGATCATTTTTTTAATACATCATCTGCGCGCAAACAACAACATAAGCTCTTTATAGACGTAAAAAGCTGATCCTAAAGTTTAGATCGCAGCACCATTAGAAATTCACATGGTCACAAACTGAAACAATATACAAATCTAATACTACAAGACGAAAACTATACATCCTTTCCTGCCTCATTACTCATCCACAAAATAGGGGAGGTGAGGGCAGCACTTATTTTAAATTTTGGCCGATAGGAGGGACACTCTTTCGAGGGGCGGGGGGTGCTAATTCGAAGACTTACAGTAGCGATTGAAACCTTGCAAATACCATCACAGACAAAAGCCCCCTCCCCATCCCAGCAGTGCCTTCTTCACTAAAAACAATAATTTGTTTCTGTTGTAGACACCTCTTAGTTGACAAGTGGCTAAGAATAATTTCATCCAAAATTTCACGTAATGCGAAAAGCAGCACCTTGGTTACACATTAGTGTATGCATGACAAAGACCGATTCCTCGGCAGATTATCAAATTCTGAACTCTTTTGAAACCCACACACAAAGTCCTGGGCTTAACTACAGTAAACACGGCATTGGAAATGTCAGAGTAAGGCCAACACAAAAATACCTGCTCCTGTTTGCAGATAAACAAAGATGGTCATTCTAAATTGGGGATGAAATCTTTACCCACATGAATCATGTTTACAAGCAGTAATCTGATGTAATATGTCAAACATGAGAGACAGTGTTTCATCAGGATGTCCATACACTGAGAGGAGAGTTGAAAATATGACACACAGCTGAGTATTTTTGACAAACTTCGAGGTGTTTGGACACCCGATGAAACACTGCCTCGAGTGTTTGATATTTCTTCTCAATTGAAACAAAAACTAAGGAGTACAAGGAGAAGTAAAATCGTTAAAATCTATGCTAATTAAGACCGGGTATCCAAACCTCCTTCATGGTTGTGATTTCCATTGTTTTAACTTGATGAATTATTAATGAGTTTGAGGAAGGTAGTTCATAGCAGCTCCAATCTGATTGGTGTGACATACACACATCTCTCACTCACTCACTCACTCACTCACTCATCCACTAAGAGGTATTTAAAAAAAAAAAAACTCAAAAATGCACAATACATGACAGAAAATATTTTTAAGCTTACCAGTTTAAAAATACTAATTTGTCTCTGCGGCCTTCTCTGGTCTCAAACTTGAAGTCAAAAAGCACATACTTAGGGTCCTTATCACCTTCCAGCAACTTGCTTTTCAACTTTTCGTAGGCAATTTCATTCTCATCTTGTGTCATGTTTTTATCGAATTTTTCTCCAGCTTCATCAACAACCACTTCCTTTTCGTCTTTGATAGACATGATTAAATACCCATAGGTCTTGTCCGCCTTCATTGCATTGTATTTTGTGACACATTCGTCACTGACTTTCATATTAGACTGTAAAAACACAAATTATAATATTAATACAAGTAGATTGCCACTTGAATGAAAGGAGTGGTCTGAGTAAATAAGACCTGAACTGAGGCCAGAAAATTAAAATTATGCAGAATCCTTGGACTAAAATATAATTGCTCCCAGTGGAAACCTGTGCCATGGGCCCTGTCAATAACTTTAAATTGAAAGAGAACAAACAGGGTGCCTTTGGACTATGTTACAATGATACAGTGAACCTTTCTAGTAAAGAAAATGTGCATGGAGCTGTAAGTTTGAATTATGCACTGTAACATTTCCCAGGGAAGCACGTTCTGATGAATGCTATCCAGTCAAAAACGATATGTAGGGACCTCTTTGACCATAATACCTGATGATAACCCGCAAAACCCTATCCAATGGACCTTCACTGTTAGCTTAAAGCTGGTAGACAATATATGGTATTAAGGAGCTCTCGAACTTTGATGTGACACTGCACTGTGCTATACTGTTGCCTGGGACAGGACCCTGTTAGTAATGAAATTGAGGAGGGCAATATATGTGGAGTCCTTTGCCTATGATATGCTACAATTTTTAATTACAACTGAAAGACACCAAAACATGGCACTGAGGAGTTCTCAGACTATCCCCCTCATAATGTTCCCAAGAAGTGGACCCTCACCATTAGAAATTTATATTACCATTACAGTGTTCCTTTGAAGTGAAAAAGCATTAATTTTTTTTCTCCAGAAAAAAATTACTTTGAACTA